TGTAGCGCGATCCCACAAAGATACGTATCTTCCCCCCTAACCTTTTTCTAGCAATTCCTCTATCCATTAGTCCTGCCGCCATACCTTTTCCCTTCCCTGTCGGAACTCCACTTGTTGCCATACCATCTAAGTTATCTTCCCCCCTAACCTTTTTCTAGCAATTCCTCTGTCCATTAGTCCTGCCGCCATACCTTTTCCCTTCCCCGTCGGAACTCCACTTGTTGCCATACCATCTAAGTAGCATCCTTTACTGTTGCAACCTTTGCTTTTCTTCTTGGGTAGAAGATATCTCTTCTTCTTCTTCTCTGGAAGGATCTGAATCCCATTATTAAATATCACTAGAGAAGCATCAACTAGAATGGATGAGAAGAAGAGACGAGAGCATGTTGGAGAGAGAATCAATTTGATCAAGAAGGAAATCACGACAAAAGCTCATTAAGGAAGGCATTGACAGGATTAGAAGGGAAGTCATGATGAGACTCACTAGAGTAGGCATTGATTGGACTGGCCGTTTTTTGGAGAAAAATTGTAGTTTTTGAGGTGAGAGTTTGGACTAGTGGCTAATTTAAATTGAGTGGAGGAAAAATTGGAGAATTAAGAATCTAGATTTAATCGACTCAGCTTGCGAACCAACAAGCTAAAGTTGTCAAGTTTGAGCTCGAGCTTATATAACATTCAGGTTATAGTCTAAGCTTGAGCTCATGGCTCACTATGCTCAAATCACAAGCTCATTAGTGAGTCGAGTTCGAGCCTACTTGCGAGTCGACTCGATTAACTCACACACTCTAGTCTTTTGTGTCCTTTGAGTGATTGAAAATGACTTAAGAAGCCCAACTTGCATCATTTGATCAACAAAACTGACTGGGGCAACAGGGGTCATTATTAGAAGTAATTATTCCGATTTTGTCTCTAGGAGACTCCATTTTGGTGTTTTGGTTTATTGTTATGCCATGAATTGTGTGGACTCTGCCTTTAGAAGACAAATGATTTTGTTCAAGCATAATCCAGATTTTCTTCGGTGTACATATCCGATTCTTTATACATTCTAGAATTTCAGATATTTTCATGATTTATCTTGGGTGAAAAATGGATTTGTGCATTTAACCTGGTAGAGTTTGGGTTCTTAATATGACTATGGAATCTTTCTAATTTGTTGAAGTTTTTGGATGTTTATGCATTTTTCTTGAATTTTTTTCCATTTTCTTGGAGTTTTTATTGGTATTCTTTTTTGATGTTTTGTATTTTCTGCAGTTTTTTTATAAAATTTCACAATATTTTCTCTTCACTGTTTAATTTATTTTTTATTTAAAAATTCTAGACTCTCATTATGAACCTTTTTATATGTTCTGACATGCATGTTGGGGGTGGGGGGAGGGCGAGTAGATGCAAGTGAAATAGGGAGGACCACTTGAACAAAGATGACAAGTTGGCTCCAACATTTGTCACGAGACAAACATGAACGACCAGACAGGAAATTATAAAATTATGCAATTTCATCTTAACCTGAAAATTTAATTATAAAAGATTGATTCGGTTTATTTTGCCATGTAGATGGATGATAGAAGAACCACCAATATGTTAAAATTAATGTGAAAGAATTGAAAAGAAAAAAGGTTGACTTGTTAGAATCTTGCTAGAATTGGCGCAAAAGATTTAGGCAAACCAGCCTTTACATCTCATTTAGCATTTTGATGTGATGATATGAAAGTGCATTCATATCTGCTTCCATGTTGGATTCTAAACACTTGCTGTATTTGTGCTGATGAGCAATGTCAGCAGAAGGCGAATTGTTTCTTTAAATGCTCAACTCATTACTTGGCACTTAAGCATTCTTACCTCCATGCTGCTAGTTGCCAGGCACGACTTATCTCTTAGAATATTGGGTTCCTGTGAATGTGGAATACTCCTATTTGGCTACGTTTACGTTGGCCTATGATGCGCTAGTACGAATATGGGAAAATGGACATCCTATGAAATGGGTATGATTGGATATATAAATGTCAATTTTTGCTCTTCTATAGAAGATATTATAAGAAAAATGCAATCTAAATGAAGTAATTGTTAAAGGGTCATTTCAGTTATGTTACTCACAATTAAAACCCTCTTCTTAGTTTTCTACTTTTCTGCAATTGCTCATTCTATTTTACCATTTTACTTACTGACGACATGCATGTTATTTATTAATGTGGCTGTCTACAGTATGTTTGATGCCTAACAGGCATGTGTCGTTTTGCATGTCTGATATGCATGCTTTGATATTATAAAATATCAGTGCATCACAGATGCTGATTATTCTAAAAAGTTGTGCTATTGGATCTCTTAGCATTTATATTTGATAAGTACAATATGAAGAATATATCTTTTGAATCTTGTATCTTCCTTTTTGGCTTGTTTGGCATCAGGGAGTTTTTGGTAGATCTTATGGCTGCCCCAGGGACCCTTATTCCAGCAGATATGCTGAGTACAAAGGATACTACTTTGATTTCCTGTAGTCCACTGCTGAATGAAAACATACTTGGTACTGCAATAGATCATTCGGGTGATGATTTTCGGGTAGGTAAAAATAAATATTTCAACTTGGATGGTGATACGATGCTTGGTACAAGGGCAAGCACTGAAAAAGCAGTGTTGCTACCATCTGTTCTGGGAGAATCATCAAGTACTGTCAGCAGTTCAAGTGTAAATCCTGAAAGTTTTTATTTGCAGGTATTGTCAAATCAGTTGTCATCTTCTATTAGTGAAGCTTCGAAGCTGGATCGTTACAAAGTTCCTGAATTTGCTTTTATGAAAGAAAAGCTGAAAGAAGGAACTTCAGGAGATGCCTTAGACTTGGGAAATCTTTTTGCTGACCTTAATCCGTTCCAAGCTCTTGGAGTTGGAAAATATTCTTCAGCATTTGAAGCTGATGATAATAAAACTAATGAATATCTGAAGCCCAGAGAATCTGTTGCTTCAGGTCCTGAAAGACCACAGCATCAGTCACCTCTAGTTCGTAAAAATCATGCCCCATGCAATGACATCTCAAACTTGAAGCATTTCAACATTTCTGTGGGACTTCCAAGGAAAAAAAATCTTGGATTCAGAGATCTTAATTCATCTCATTATACTTCCTCTGCAACTGGAAGCTCTTTGGCCAACCCTTTTAATTGTTCTGGTATCGCATGCTCAGTCAGACCTGATGATACTTCTTCTAGAAATCCTGATTGTTCTTCTGGAGCTATTAACAACTCAGAATTTGTACAGAACTGTAAAATAGCGATTGGCGGTTTTGATTCCCCAGCAGATGAAGTACTTATTCCGATTCAGTTTAAAGAACATGGTTTTGCTTTTCATAACAATACGATTCATAAATACAAGGAGCGTGATACAAATATTTATGAACACAAGGAGGGTGACAAAAACATTAATGCTAATCGTGATAGGAAAAGGCTTTTACATGATAAATTTCTGGACAGGAATATGGCATCAGGGGATGCAAATCAATCATCACCTAGCGCACATGACAAATTTATTGGGAATGATGAGGGATCGCGTGATACAAATCCATCACCATCTTTGTCTCTATCCAGACCAAACAGGATTGATCCAATGCTTGATGATGTGGCTGAATGGGAACTTCCATGGGAAGATCTTATAATTGGTGAAAGAATTGGATTAGGTAATTCCTCTAATTCTTTACTAGGCCCTATTATATGTAAAATGTTCAGAACAATTGACATTTTTGATTTGCAGTTTTTTCTGGGAACTTCTGTTCACTGTTATATTTATATAAGATAAAGTTGTAATTACTTTAATAATCTGCAAAAGGTCATTTTCTATCAATAATCATTCAAACTGGTTACAAGAAATGACACTGCTTGGTGCCAGAACCTGTTTTCAACATCAGTCTCAACATGAAAATGGAACCAAAACAAAATCATCTATTGAAGAAGAATAATGTGTTAGCGTGTCACATGATATTTTCCTTCACAATTAACATTTATTTGAAGAAACATGAAAGACGAGCTTTTCCTTTTGAACAGGTTCATATGGCGAAGTCTACTGTGCTGATTGGAATGGCACGGTGAGTATTATTTATTATTCAATTTCTAGTTTGCTGATTCTTATTGTGCATTGCTTCACGTTTTTTATTTTTTGGTAGTTCATCGTACATTGAGGAAATGGTTTCTGGTAAGCCGAGAGAAAAATCCTTAATAGGTTTAGTTTAGCCTTTTTAAACAATTATTTAGTTAGAACATTGGTATAAAAGAGGTGCAGGTGCAGCCAACGTTCAAAAGCATTGCTTTTTTATGTTGAGGCTGCACAAAATGAGAGTTGGTGTTTTGTGATGTATTGAAGTGTACCCTTTTAGATGAACTCCTCTCTATTCTTCAGTTTCTTAAAAAATGCAGTTTTCTCACTCCTTGCAGCACAATTCGCCCTACCAACACATGCAATGAACGTAAACCATATAACGCCTTTAAACATCTTAAATATGGTGTTTAGCATAACATCTCATATATATTAATTGAAATGATTATTTTTGCTTTATTTCCATAGCTTCCCTAGTTAATTTGCTCCCCCACCCTTTTGGATGGTTGATGTAATGCATTCATTCAGCTTTTGTATTTTGATGTATTGTTATACGGTTTTTGTTTAAGGACGTGATAAGCATCTTTAAACCGGAACAAAGCTATATGCCAACATATGTATATTTATTTCATTGTTTGTCTGCCATGCATCATTTGTTGCTTTTAAAACCTTATGTACTGTTTTTTTAATATGCATTAAAATCAATTGTGAAATTTTGAATATTTTGTGAACTTTTATATGAAGTTCTTGAATTATTTGTTGCTTAAAAGCTTATGTACTGTTTTTTTATATTCATTAAACTCAATTGTGAATTTTTGAATATTTTGTGGGCTTTTAGATGAGGTTCTTGAATACATGTTCCTATCCTTATCATAATTTTGTTCTTTGCTTGAATAAGCACCGAGACATCACTGAGATGCCCTTTGCATAATTCCACTGATAAGCGTACTTTTTGTGGATTACAGGAAGTAGCTGTTAAAAAGTTCCTAGACCAAGATTTTTATGGTGATGCTTTGGATGAGTTTCGAAGTGAAGTGGGTGAACTAATTTCAGTTGATATGATTGATTATAGCTTCAAAAAACATTCTATAATTTTTCTTTTAATCTTTTCTTCCTATTTTTTTTTGCCACTGATGGGTTTTATGATGTTGGTTTTACTTTATTAGGTGCGGATAATGCGTAGATTGCGTCACCCTAATGTTGTTCTTTTTATGGGTGCTGTTACACGACCTCCTAATCTATCAATTGTCTCTGAGTTTCTTCCTAGGTAAGATTATTTCTCTTACCGACCACATTATATTGAGATCACTTTAATTGCGAGGAGTTTGGAAGTTGCTTGATAATCACTCTCCAGCTTTGATCTTGTTGTATGAGTCCGCATATTTTGGCTCTTAAAGCATGCATTTTTTGGGTCCTTGACGAAAATATTTCCATGCATGTTGAGTCATGGGCATGTTTTTCTTCTTTTGGCTTTCACAATTGAATTCCAAATATCCTTTACCAAGTAGTAAAAAAATAAGGTCCATTTGTTTTCCTTCTTTAGTCTTGAGGATCTTTACTGGCTGCTGCACCTCAGATTTCTTTTCCTTTAGTTACCAGTATGTCTACTGCTTTGTGCATGTTGACAGGCCCTGTTTTTATGCTTGAACAGGCTCTGTTTTTATCGTAATAAAAAATAATTCTAAAAAATATTTCAAAGCCTTACAGTTTTTGAGAAGTTTTGATAATTTAATATTTTTGTTGATTGCATACAAATATTTCTCTTTGCCATGTCATTTTTATTATTATTTTTTATATAATTATATTGTTTGTGGTATTCATTGGTTTTGGTATCATTTGAATCCTTCATCAAGTATTTGATTCTAATAGTTGCTGGTTTAGATATTCATTTCCAAATTTCATATAGTGCTTTTTTATACTATTTTTGTTACCGAAGACATGTAATATCTGCATTCTTTTCCAGAGGAAGCTTGTACAAGATTCTACATCGTCCTAATTGCCAAATTGACGAGAAGAGGAGGATCAAAATGGCTCTTGATGTTGTATGGATGCTATTCCTTTTTCTTCTCGCTTGCTTTCACTCTTTTTCTTAATAAGTTTTTACTTTCTTTTACACTCGTAGTTTATTTTTACAGGCAAAAGGAATGAATTGCTTGCATACTAGTGCTCCAACAATTGTTCATCGGGATCTCAAATCACCAAATCTTTTAGTAGACAATAACTGGACTGTTAAGGTAAGGGAACTCATTTCAGAAACCTTGATAAGTATTTGTCGGGAATTTTCTTTCATAGATTTGCTTTAGTCTAACCTTTAGTTATTGATTGAAATTTTTTCTGCTACTTGTGGCCTTCCCATATGATAATCTATGGGTTCTTTTCTGTATTTTAATTAAATTTCATTCAATTTTGTGGGAAATGAATTAAATGTATTGTAGTCATTAACAAGTAAAAAATTGTGGATCTTTCTGATGTTTTCTTTGTCAAGATCGGCTTTGGCTTCTAAATGCCTAAATCCGATTCTAACATAGTTCGAATAAATTAACAAATTGTTCTATGGAGTGATACCAGAGTAACCTTAAAATAAGCAAATACGATTATCATTGTTGGAATTCAGAAAGAAACTCATCAAGGGTTCATAAAATTGGAAATAAAATGATACGAATGCAAACATGACTCTTCGACGAGCATTTAGCATATGTGTATTTTTTAATCGCATGATTTTTTAGATCTTTTGAAGAATAAACCTTATATAGGAATAATCTTTAAGTATCTTAAAATTTTGTTCACTGCTTTCAAATGATCCTCATTTGAGTTATTCTTTTGCCGACTTACTACACTGACTGAGCATGCAATCACATGTCTTTTGTGTGATAGATAAAGTAGTTTGCCCTCAAGTATTTGATATCTTCCCTTGTCAATTAGACTGGTTTCTTCACTTTTGTTCAACATTCTGTTGGATTTTTTAGGCGTGTCGACAGGTTTACAACCAAACATATCAGTTTTACTTAACAGGTTTTAGTCGTACTTCCTTTGGGATATAATAATTCCCTCCATGGACCGAACCACCTCTATTCCCAAAAAATATCGGAGATTCTCAAACTCTTTGATTTCAAATTCTGTTGCAAGCATCCTTTTTAGTAGAATAATCTCTTCTGAATCATCATCTATCAAGATAATATCATCTATATATATGCTGTGAGAATAACAATTTTGCCTCCAGAATTAGATTTAACGAACATAGTATGATAGCTTGACATTATTATATCCATTTCTAATCATTGTTTTAGCAAATCAGTCAAACCAAGTACAGGTAGATTGTTTCAAGCCGTCTAAGGACTTTTTCAACTTGCAAATCAATCTGTCGTTCAACTTATTTTCCAAGCCTGGAAGTATAGTCTTGTAGACTTCTTCATCAGGGTTGCCATTAAAAAATGCGTTTTTGACATCAAGTTGATATAAAGACCAATCTTGATTTACTGCAAGAGAGTAAAACTCGAATCATATTAAATTTGACAATATGTGCAAATTTTTTATGATAGTTAATTTCGTATGACTATGAGTCTAGTTTTGAATCTCTCTACACTTTCATCTCCTTTATATTTAATCGTAAATATCTTTTTGCAGCCTACAAGATTTTTTTCATGTGGTAACTATGTAAGTGTCTATTGTGTTATTCTTTTCTAGAGCCCAAAATTTTTCCTCAACTGCCTGTTTTCATGCTAGAACCTTTAGAGCCTATTGGATTGGGTTTGGAACCTACACATTATCAAGATTTGCCACAAAAGCTTTATAAGAAGGCAGCAACTTCCCATAGGCCACATATCTTTCAATTGGATGATGAGTGCACTCTCGGATACCTTTCATGTGTGCAATTGGTTGATTAAAGTGATCAACCATCGGTATAGGAGAATCATGAGTTGAGGTATCCATGTCATTATGATTCTCAGGAGGACATGGTTATGCTCTTGACAATTGTGAGTCTTTGCATGATAGTGGTCCTGGTGTAGGCACGAAATTATGTCATGTTTAGGTGCGGTAGAGGTAATTGAGACTATTTCTGTGATAGAGTTTGGTTATTCAGGTGGAGCTCTTTGAGGTGCAGAGACAAGTGGAGCTTGTTGAGGCACAAGATTTGGCTCAGTTAAAAAAAATTAGCCTGATTATCTTGGAAAAAAAAATCCCAAATATGATATTCCTTCAAGTTCTCCCCCTAAATTTTAGATTTGGGAAAATAAAATTGATTTTCAAAGATGGTGACATCCTTGGAATTATATATTTTTCTGGTGGTTGGGGAGTAGTATTTGTACCTTTTTAGTTGGATGAGTAACCGAGGAAAATGTATCTGAGAGACATGAGATCAAGTTTTGTGAGGTGTTATTGATGGATGTGAAATCTTCAATGATAAGTCAAAAAAAAAAAGTGGGTGTGGGTAGGATTCGATGAGAACGTTATTGAAAATTTGAAATTTTATGACTCGACATCCTATTGACGTCGTATGTGGCTGTGAGAGTGGCTTCCCCAAAAAAATATTTAGGCACATGATTATATAATATAATGACACAAACCATCTCAAGTAAGTGTCCATTTTTTTGTTTAACGACTGATTATATAATATAATGACACAAACCATCTCAAGTGTCCATTTTTTTGTTTAACGAACCATTTTTGTTGAGGAGTATCCAGACGAGCGTATATAGATAATACCATTATTGGAAAGATAAGGACTAAGAATGAAATTAAACTATTCTTTAGCAATATTGGTTTTAAGAATTTGAATTTTGCTTTAGAATTGAAGGATAATAATGTAATGAAATGATTGAAATATGGTGTTTGTTTTAGATTTTTCTTTCATAAAAAATATCCATGTTGCTCGTGCGATCATCTATGGATGATACAAACCATCATATCCCGCCTATATTATTTACTTGTGAGAGTCCCTAGTTATCACTATGAATCATAGAAATTGGAATATACATATTTTGTATTTTTTTGCAAGTTGATAAGTTTCACATTGATAAAAATTGAATTTTTTATTGATAAGAAATGTGAAAATATCATTTCTATGTACGCAAAATTTGGACGACCAAGACGATTATGACTCAATATGAGTTGACTTTCAATTGACACAAAATTTGAACTGGACTCAAAAATACAACTTGATGGATGACGTTGCCTACCGATGAAATTATTTTATTTGAGCATGTATAGAACATCATGCATCTTAACATTGCAATCACCTCTCTCAAATCCACAATTGAATATCACAAGAATTGGAATAAGATTTATTCACATTTTAGTTCACGAGTAAGTTTGCTGATTGAGAGTAGATTGCAATTTAATTTGGAACATCAAGGACAGAGTAGAAGTGAAATTTTTTTGTCAATTCAACTGATCCAATTATTACTACTGGTGAGAATGAACTATTAGCTATTCAAACTATAGAATGACTGGTGCACGATAGTAATTTTTGAAGATGTTTGATGTCTTCCGTCTTATGATCTGAGGTTCTGAGGTAAACTATCCAAGGTTTAATTTATTGCTTTGGACACTTAAAAACATGAGATAAGATGCTTTTGTGTGCAACGGGGTGATAGCTTGACAGAGGATTGTGATGCTTCTCCAAACCTTGAACTATTACTAAACATTTTGTGCAGTGTCTCAATTCGCTCTATAGTGAACTAGATGAATTCTGAATTGTTGTTGGAAAACATGATTGGGATAGAAGTTGTAGGCTCGATTTTGGATGTGACTTTCGAGGAAGAAGATTGTGAGGCTATGTCGTGTTTCTCCATGATATTATTGTGAGGCTCAAATCGAGTAAACCTGCTGCTCGAATGAAAGAAAGAGATGGACTTTTAGTTCGACTGCTTGGCTGGATGAGCAAATAGGAACTAGAGGGAAGTGTGTAGCTCTTGATATGCGCATGTTTGGCACTCGACGAGAGGTGATTGGGCCGACGACCTATGAGATGTCTACTGGAGCAAACCGAATCGATGATAAAAGCCTAATTGTGCGCTGATTTACCCAACAGGGGAGGACCGAAGGGGGAATAGTCCTGTGATTCGCTCGGTTCTGAATCAACAGAAAGGAGCGTTCTATTTAAGCGGAAAAAAAAAATCAACATGACATAGCATTCTATTCAAGTGTTTTCTTTAAAAATATGCATGCCCTATGATTTTTTTTGATTTTACTTGTTTATGTATTATTTTGCAATCAAAATATTTTCAAGCCTATTTAAAATCTAAATATTTAGAAAATATAAAAATATTCATGATCGTTTTAATAATTTATTTATTGTGTTTAATTTAATTGATTACATGATAAAAGAAACTACTAATCTTAATTTTTAATTACTAAAGCATACCTTTTGTGCATATATGTTGATGTGATTATGACACTAAATTGTTATATTAGTAATTATCGAAGTCTGTGTGTTGGATATATGTGATTCTGCTTGGCTTACATATAAATCCCATTATATTATATTTTATTATATATCCTCATTGCACATCAGCATTGTATTTGCTTACATCCAAAATCTCTTATTTGTATTTGCTAAAATAATAAGGACAAATCTGATCAAATGAAATTTCTTCTTCATTTAAAACAAAATGCATGCCTGCAACTTTGCTTACAACTAACAACTAACCGTTGTTAAGCCCGTAAGTGAATCGGTTCCTCTTGGATTGGCCCGCCACAATAGCAGGTGGGCTGGTCTTTTTTGCGAAGAGTGGGGCAGCAAATTGCTGCTGCAGAAGAAAGCAAGGAGCAGGTGGGGTCCACAAGGGCCTTAATTACACACTCAAGGAGGAGAAATTAAAAGAATTTGGAGGGAAAATTAGGAAGAGAAGTTTGAAATGCTATTGGAGGATTCTATTAAGGGGAATAACATATGATTTGTACTTTTTTATGCATGTTTTTGTTGGCTATTGGTTTTTTTTCTTTTGGTGTTCCGACCGACGTCCAGGGTACCCCTCAAAAAGTAGATCATCATTCTATTTTGCTTGTTTTCATTTATTTTTCGTAAGAGCAATCCTCATTTGAGTTTTTCCATCTATCTGTTATTTTGCTTGTTTTCATTTATTTTTCGTAAGAGCAGTCCTCATTTGAGTTTTTCCATCTATCTGTTGTTTCGTCGTTGTTGCTTGTTGATTCTTGGTTCCAGAGCATATCAAATTGGTATTAGAGCCTATATTTTGGTGGGATGACAAGAAACAAAGTTAATGTGCTAGAAGGAGAGGTAGGACAAATCAGATCGGGAATGGAAGAAGGGTTCACCATCATGGATGATAAGTTTCTTCCATTAAAAGTCGAATAGATGATAAATTTGAGAGCATAGGAGAAATGCGGGAGAAAATGTTCATGAAGATGCAGTTTAAGGCCATACCGATCTCTCCAGTGGCAAACTCTAACCAATGTTTGATTAAGGAATCCTTGGCAATGTCAAAAGGGAAACAGATCGAACGATAAGACAATGAGGAAGACATCATCTACCAATAAGAGCTCACCCTAGGACTTTGAGAGGAGGGGGAATGGAGACTCCCGATGGAGGGGGATATGCCGAAAATTCGAGG